TTCTATCAGTAAGTCATTAGGTTTCCCGGTTATACTATAAATATGTACTTTGTTTCTACGTTTTGGGCAGTCAATGAAGAAGAAAACCCATAATCTAGTTGTTTTAGTTTATTTATCGTTCTTGTGCTGCGATGCTTGATCCGTCAATGCATCACGTGGCGGTGGTGGTGGAAGCATTTCTGTTTGAAGAAGAAGAAGATGAGGATTTCCACCATCACTGTAACCCATCATCCACATATTCTTCTTTTCACAAGGCGGTAGTGGTTGCACACCAAATATATGATGATGATGAAGAAGAACAATCTTATGACTTTCCACAAATCCAAAGGAGAAAGGTGTTAGCTTTAGGAACAGTAAGGTTGTCTTGATAATGGGTAATATATATATAGTACTGCTGCAGAAGAAGCCGATGGATGTGATTAAAAAAGCTATAGGGGGCGGCTGGTCTTTTTTGTCAAGGGGAGAAAAGGGAAGAAGTAGGAAATGAAGGTAGCTAGATGGTGCAGAAGAAGCAGAGTAGTACTGGTAGGACTACCATAAGTGGGATAAGGTAGATGCTTTTGCTTCTGGTCTATGTAGCTTGCCTTCTCCATATAAGAGCAGAGAGGATTATAGGCCCATAAAGAAGCTAGCTGATCATTCACCACAGGGTAATGAGTTGAACTGAGTCCCTCTAATTTCCCTTTTGTTGTGAATCATGTCAATAATTGGTTGGGGAACATTCAAAGTATAAAAACTCAGCGCTAAGTCAACTCTGTTTCATTCTCCAAAACAGGGGATATTACAAGTGTAGCAGCGTGAGGGGATGTCCGACGCGGAAACACGTAGAGCGGGCTCTAGACAACCCGGTGATCCTCATCGTCACCTACGAAGGAGACCACAATCACAGCCACTCTGGCGTGAACGAGCCGTCGCCGACGACTATTGTTCTGCAATAGTATTGAAGTGAAGAGCAGAGAGAAGCAGAAAAACAATTAAAAAAATGACGGAAAAGTCAGCATTGGACACCGATGATGAATCGAGGAGAAGAAGAAGAAATCTCACTCGATAACCTATTTCATTAACTCCAAATGGCCCTAAACTCTCACATCTTTTCTTTGCTGATGACCTCATTTTATTTGCAGAAGCAGAAAACAAGCAGCTGGAAACTATTCGGAGATGTTTGGATGAATTCTGCAGCAGTTCGGGTGAGAGGGTTAATCTGTCAAAATCTGCTATGTTTGTGTCCACAAACATACCTAACAACAGAGCCCAACAATTAAGCAGTAGAGCCGGGATCCCCTTAACTGCAGACCTTGGGAAATATTTGGGGATTCATACGATTAATGGCAGAGTCACCAAGGCTAGGTACAAGGAGCTCTGCTTGCGAATACAGAAGAAGCTTGCTGCTTGGAAAACAAGACATCTCTCATTAGCAGCTCGCTTGACGCTGGTGAGATCGATCTCTACCTCCATGACTGTCTATCCTATGTTTACAGAGGCACTGCCTACTTCGGTTTGCAATGATCTTGACAGGTGCAATCGCCAGTTCGTTTGGGGAGAGGAGGATGGGAAGACTAAATTTCACCCGATTGCTTGGAATCAGATGACGTTGTCAAGGAAGATGGGAGGTGCTGGGATCCGGCCAACAAAACTCGCCAATCAAGCTTTGCTGGCGAAGGGAGGGTGGAAGCTGGTCACTAAGGATCAATCGCTCTGGGCTAGAGTGCTTCGGGACAAATATGCTCGATCAAAAGAAGGATTATCAGTTCTGCAGAAACGAAAGGGAAGTTCCATGGCCTGGCGAAGTTTTACTTCGATTATTGAGGTCCTTAAAAAGGGCTATACTATTAATGTTAAGAATGGACGGACAACTAACTTTTGGCATGACCCTTGGGTGTCGCAGATACCGTTGATTGATATAGCTACTGAGGAGATATCGGAAAGCAGACAAGCAAAAATGGTAGCTGATCTTTGGGACCCAGATTATGGATGGAAGCTAGAGGAATTTCAAGACAGCCTGCCCCAACACATGATAAACAACATCTGATCAGTCATGGTTGATCCAATGGCAGCTGAAGATTACCAAGGCATCTGGAACTTGTCCTCCAATGGCCAGTTCACAGCAAGCTCCGCCTTCAAGGCTATCTCACCACAACATCAGGGCCCTCTTCCACCTTCCTTTTGGCAAAGATCTGGAAACTCCATGTTCCTGAGAGGGTAAGGGTTTTCATGTGGATGGCCAGCAAAGGCAGACTGACGACCAACAGCATCCGGAAGTACCGTCATCTCACCCAGGACGACAAGTGTCCGGAATGTCCGGATGTTTCAGAATCAAACCTCCACTGCCTGAGAGACTGTGCTTTGGCTAAGGCGGTCTGGTTGAAAATCATTCCTGCTCAGCAGCACACGCATTTCTTCAGCCTTGGATATGAAAATTGGCTTCAGGAAAACATCTCCAACGAAGACCACGGTGATTGGATGGGTGATTGGGCGAGCTATTTCAGCCTCATAACCTGGTATCTCTGGAAATGCAGAAATGAAAGTGTCTTTAAGGGAAAGAAGTTGTCTCCTTCATCCCTCCACAACTATGTCACGACAAAGGCTAGAGAGTGGAGCAAGGCCTGGAATGAGGGACGATTGGAAGCAAATGCTCATGTCCAACATACAAGGACCGAAGCACTTATCTCATGGAAGGCCCCTGCCGCCGGATGGGGGAAGATGAACACTGACGGGGCGGCTCAAGGCAGCCCGGGTATAGCCTCCGCCGGCGGAGCACTTCGAGATTCTCAAGGTACGTGGCTGGGCGGCTTTTGCAGCAAGATGGGTAATGGTACAGCGATTATGGCTGAGCTCTGGGGGATTCTCCAGGGACTTCAGTTGGCTTGGAAGAAAGGCATCATATTCCTCATTCTCGAATCAGACTCTCAACTAGCTTTGGATTTAATCAAGAACAGGACAGATGCAGCTCATCCGCATGCTACTATCCTCGGTTTGATTCGTCGTCTTCTCGCTCAAGGCTGGGTGGTTCAGCTTGCTCATACGTACCGGGAAGGGAATAGAGTCGCGGACTGGCTCTCGAAGCACAGTCTCGTCTATCCCTTTAGCACGTATGAGTTAGATGAACCCCCTAGTGATTTAAAGAAAATTCTGCAGGAGGACCTTCTGGGAGTGAGCTTCCCTCGGCAAGTCCTGCAAAGGACCAGTAGGGAGAATTGATTTTGTATTTGAACTTTGCTTGTTTCTCATCCCTTCGCTTTGATGTGCGTTTGGGTGTCTCTGGTGGCCTAGTAGCCCCCCTGTAATCCTGGCGTTTGCCTCCTTTCTATAAAAAAAAAAAATCTATGTTCCATTCTCTTTTAATTTGGTAATTAATAATTATAATATATATTTTTTTTATGGTAAAACTGAATTGGACATTAAAATCTATTAAATTTTATTTTATTTATTATTTCTTAATTGCCACGTCACTAAGTTAACCGCAACTTTGAGAGTTGACTGCCACATCAGCCAAAGTTAACAGAGTTGGACGAAGAGTGACCAAACGTGAACGGTTTTAGTAAATTGAAGTACCACCAATGGATTTAAATATTTCGAGTGACCAAATTTGAACGTTTTTTGTAATCTCAGTGACCAGCCATACAATTAACCCTTTAATTTATTAAAACATAAACACTAAAATAATAAAATTAATGAATAATTTAATTATAAAAAAGATGATGTGGCTTGCATTTCATAATTGCATTATATGCAAGTTTGCAAAGATGCAATTGTCATCTACATCAATGCAATTGCAAATGAATACCATGTCATAATGCAATTCTAAATGCAATTCCAATGGAGATGCTCTAATAATCAACTTTGGCCCGTGGTTTCAGAAATTGTTATCCTTGCCTCAACTTTTCATCATATAGACTCAATTGGCCGGACGCGTGGTTTGATCGTCAATTTGGATGGTCAACAGCGTTGACTAACGATCAACTGTCCAGCTCACTGCCATGTCAGCACCAAAATTAAAAAAAAAAATTGAAAGTAAAAATTATTTTCTTGTTTCCTTTATCTAATAAGATAATAAATAATGGCAAAAAATAATAGATAAAATAAAAACCAAATTCAAATAATAATTAAAAAAATTACATTCAAATAATAATAATAATAACAAAAAAATTATTTATTTAGTATTCTTTTACCATTATTTATTATCTTTTTGGATAAAAAAATTAATTTTTGTGTGATTTATAATTTTTTACCATTATATATTATCGGATAATCAATTTTAATTTTTGTTTGATTTATTATTATTTTTTACCATTATATGTAATTTGAATTTGAATTTGAATTTTTATTAGTTTCGGTGCTAACATGACAGTGAGTTGGATCATTACTCCGTTAGTCAACGGTGTTGACCGTCCAAATTGCCGATCAAACCACGCGTCTGGCCAATTGAGTCTATATGATGGAAAGTTGAGGCAAGGATGACAATTTCGGAAAGCACGTGCCAAAGTTGATTATTATTGTATAGTTCGGGTCATAATAAGGTATTAACTCAAAACCAAACGACAATAAAAAAACATATATATAGTTAGAGGCAAAAGGGTGTTTTCTAGAATTGATACATCTGATTTCCCGTGGAGAATAGCTCTGTTAGTTTGATGAGATTGGGAATTCGAATCCCACGTACCTTTATCAGAATTATTTCATCTATACAGTTTCCAACTTTCGTTATAGAAAAAGCATCAGAAGAGTATCTAGAACAAGCTGACCTCATGGACAAACAGATACGGAGATTGAGAGACACCATGTTAATTGAAAGATTATTGGGTAGAAGAAGGCTTAAGATTATGCAAGCAGAAATGTCTAGAAATTAAATATGGTTCTATTGTGCTAGATACTATCTATGTTTTTTTTTGTGTGGATATTTAAAAGCCACTAGTAATAATTAACAGTTTAACACCCATTAGTCCACTTTCCCCTTTCTTTTTCCTCCCATCATGGTCAACTCGATACTCATTTTGGACAGACTCGTGATTGTATTTGTTTGAAAGGATAATTATTAGTTATCTGGGTTACAGAAAGATGCAAGTACATTGGCAATGATAAGTTATCTGGGGTTCAAAAAAATTATGCATTCTCGTTAGGAAAAGAGAGACACTATTGTTCTTGAGTCTGCTGGAGAATGACTGAAAAAGCCTACAATGTGTGGAAATCAGAGAAGAGCACAAAAAATAACCAAAGAACTACAGGCACTCTAATCTTCTAAATATAATGTTCAGGAGCTTCAGATACGATGAGTTTCTTGATGTGTGCCTTAACCAACTTTGGCCTTGGGAGCTGCCTTCTTCTTGATCTGTCTCCTCGGGATAAAGTTCTTCATCCCCACGAAGATCAGCAATGCGCCAAAAAGAGCTACACTCTGTCGAAAGATCAAAAGACCAAAGCAGACATTAAGAGATCGGATGTCATCGAGAGGATGCTTAAAGTTTTAGGACAGTTGAGTTCATAACAAACCTGCAAGAACTCATTCAAGAGAATCAAGTACTCAATCTCGCCCCTACGGTAGTTGTAGAAGTCGTAGAGAATTGGGGCATTAACAGCCAAGTAGAATATCTGTACCAGTGCAAGGTCAAGATAGAGTTCATTACTAATGGTTAAAAGATATAAGCACCAAGCGGTTGGCATCTATTCACTGGAGCCCTCACCAAGAGATAAGCACCAAATGGTGTACCAAACACAAAGAGGAAGCCTCCGAGCCCCTTGAGAACCATGTTAACAGCAACAACGTGCCTAGCCTATCGATGAAGCAAAATGGTAGTGAGTAAGAACAAAATAGTTCACCATGGTCTCCATCAAAAAGGAAAGGAAAGAAATATGTTCACCCCAATAAACAAATCTTACATCAATATCTGGCATTTTGACAGCCAATGTAGTTGCAAGATGGTGCTTCACCACGGAAAGCTTCGACATGTATTCTTGAGCAGCAGGGCCACCATCTTCCCCAAATTCATTGAACCTAATCCGGTAAAATACACACCCCAAAATGTCATTCTTCAAACCCACGACAATCCAAATAGGAGACGTTTCGAAAACTCAAACTGATTCACATTACCAAGGCACTAGTAGATTAAGCAACAGCTGAGTTAGCAAATCCAGTACAAACATAAACCAAGCTAGGCTCTCTAGTTTCACATCTAAATTGACTACCACACTTGCAGATATCAGAACACCAGATCACATCGAAGAAACAAAGACAGATTATGACCACTGAAATCAATATACGGGTCATTATAAATAAAATGATGACCGATATGGGTCACAACCATTCAGTTTCCAAGATCCAACCTTTGAGATCAAATCGGAATGTTGCAAGCCATCACGATCATGGCACGATTTCACATTGATACACTAGCTTTTCAGAAACAAATTAACCAGATATCGCCACTACAGAGGCCACAACAATAATCTAAGCAGGCGAGTGAAAAAGAGAGCCTAAAGAACCAACCCCAGCTGAGGATCGTCAGCTGTTCCAGGTAATGACAAATATGCGTTCATTCCTATTTCTAGAAAAGGGGAAACGATGTAAACAAACGAGAATCCCCTGAATCCCTTAAATGCAACAGTACACCACATATGGAAACAAATTCAACATTTCAAGAAGAATTGAAACAGGGCGATCCAGATCATAATCCAAAAGAGAATCGACGAACAATAGATCTGAAAAATGAACAGAAAGAGAGGGAGAGTACATTTGCCAGGCGGAGAGGATGAAGAGGGAGGCGAAGAGGACTCTACCGAGGAACGAAAAGAAACCCATTGTTCTTGGCTTCAAGTGATGCTTCGGATGACCTCGCCGACTGCGCCCGCTATATGTCAGCTTTCGGATTCCCTTTTCGTCGCCGCTGTCGGAGGGAAATGAAAGTGAACACTAGTTTGAGCTGTGGAGCGCAGGGGGCTGGGGGCAGAGACGAGACAAGAGAAGTGGTGGTCGTTGTCGTTGGCTTGTTAGTTAGGGCCTGATTGATGATGGCATGGGGCGGGGCGGGGCGGGGCGGGTTAAGATCTAGTGATTAAGGAGACTTGACTAAATCGATCTCAGTCCTTCAACTTTATTAAAATCAAAGAATTTTAATTAATTTTATTGAATGAAGGACAAGATGGTAATTACACAAATTATTTATTTAATAATTAAAATAAAATAAGAAAGTGGGTTGAAGTGTTGTCCCTTCGACGTTCCGCCGGTCGTCTGTTTCCCGGAACTCCCGCCGACCGCCACGGAATTCTTCTCCCGTTCTGGGAAGAATTTGCATGAGTCAAAATATATTTCCGTGGAGTTTTTTGGGTACGAGAAAGATTTGCATGTGTCAAAATATGTCTCTGTGGAGATTTTTGCTAGAGAGAGTTCTGATCGAAGAAGGGTGGTTGGGTAATACCCTATATCCACCTAGCCTGAAACTTGACGAGATTTCTATAACATCGTCTAGATGTCGTTTGGGGTCGTCCATCAGCCCCTCCCGTGTACCCCACGGGGATAAAAGGGACTTTACCCCGGCTCCGGAGACTGAATCTCCGATGAACCTAATGGAATCGACGGCAGGGATAGCACGCCTGTCAGCTGATACTTGCCGGTCTGGCGACAGAACGGTTGGCGAACCCAGAATACGCGCTTCCGTAAACGATAGGGTCGGTGGGAACCCTTTTCGATCTTCTCTGGTTTTTACGTCAGGGGGGTTGCAAATTCGGTTAATTAACAATAAGATATTCAATAATATATCTTTAACCGGAAAAAATCCTTTTCCCCAATGTAAAATCTTGGAGATAAACCACCAATTGAGTCCTACTTGGAAGATGACACTAGGGTCTCTGACCCCTTTAAAACCTAGCGGTAACCCCACCCGCTTGGTTCTACGACTCGGAAGACAAAGGGGAATTGCGATTGACGTTGTTGGGTGTGTGCAAAGGTGCCATCATAGCCGAGGTAAGATGGTTAAAGATCTCCACCCACTGCATATTCGTTCCCCGATTTTTATTAATAGTTTTCCTGCGTCAATTTTCAAAACACCATGCTTATATGCTTAAGTTGCATGGCCATGATTCAACCCTAATCACCGTCTTCTTTCTTCTACATTTCAAGTAGGAGAGCACGTGGGTTCTAGGGACCAGAAGCTCAACTCTCTTTTGTCTCCTCAGGAATGAACAATGGCCCATGTTACAGAAGATCAAATCGTCCAATTTTCGCTGGAGGAAGTCCAATCCTCAACTTTCAGGGCCTCCCGTACTTTGGTGGGGCGAGTCTTCACAAACAGCAAGTTCACAGTGGCTGAGGCCCCAGATGCAGTCAACATTCCATGGCAAGGGAAAGACCAGATCAGGGTGTCGGAAGCACGATACGACCTTTTCGAATTTGTTCTCCCAAATGAAGCTTCGAAGATCTGGGTCCTAAAGAGGACGCTTTGGATCTTGAAGGACAAGATCTTCCACCTGACGACCTGGACCTCGAATGTCACCAGAAGATCATTCGATGACCTTGCTGTGGTCCTTTTCCGTGTTCAACTCTGGGGAATCAAGGAAGATTGTTGCACTCAGCAGTTCGGCCGAAAGATGACGGCTACCACAATCGGGAATGTTCTTGAAGTTGGGGTGTTTGCTTGCTAGGAGACTAATCGTCTGTTTGTCAAGGTGAAAGCGTTGATCGACTTCACCAACCCGCTGAGATCGCAACTTATGGCGGCTAGTGAGGAGACAGGTTGTTTCTGAGTCGATGTGAAGTACGAATACCTACCGAGTTTCTGCTTTCATTGTGGGAGAGTGGGGCATACAAATCGTGCTTGCCAATTTGCTCCCCCAGCCCGCAAAGAGAAATTCGGTCCCCATATGTCCACCAAAAATTTGGGGATCAAAATATATGATGAAGCTGAGGAGAACCCACCGTTTCGTGGTCCACCACGATCTGTCTGGGTGAACAAGGAGCAGAATACCCAACAGAGTGTGCCGGCCAGAATTCTCTCCCGTAAGGGTGATGGTGGGATGCACTCGGACCTTCCAGGGAAACGGGGACACTTGGATACACCTACCCAACCAGTGTTTCCCTCATCGAAGGAGAAAGATAAATCTCGC